TGGAAAAAGGGGATGTTTTGGTTGTTGGGAGACTCACCTTCAAAGGTGAGTAAACTGATTTATGACATGGTAAGTTGTCTGATGAGTGATAAAGTCTGACGAAAAAGGGGCCACTCTTTGGAATATTTGAAAAAGTCGCAATAAGTGCAGGGCGGGAGATGTCTCAGGGTGAGTGACTGCTGGCTCTGATCAAGTCAGGGGTCACGGCCTGGTGGATTTAGCGGTGATTTTGTTTGTAAGCGTACGAAGGATGTCATGCCTATTGAGGGAGGGCTGGTAAATGCCTTCGGACCCCTACGTATCGCGCAGTGGGCCTGTGATTTTGTTTTGCGACGCACCCGTTCAACCACTGGTGCTAATTCTGAGACATATTGAAGAAAGGTCAAGCTAACGGAAATGAAGTTAGTACCTCTAGGGCGTAACCCCATTGGATGGTTGCTAGCTGGCGCAACCTGGTTGCGGGACCGCGGGGTAAGAGTTTAAGGAGAGTTACCCGCCCCAGGGAAATTACTCCGTGGGATAATGAAGGTTAAGATTTTGGGAGGTCCTGATTGAGTGCTTATCAGGAGAAACCCTATCGTTGCGTAACCAACGAGGGTACTGCCGTTAAATAACAATGCGGTGGGCCGTAGTCCTGGTCCGATCAACCAGGCTATGGTGGGCCAAGATGGAGACCTGGCCTTTCTGTACTAGACTGCAGAAAGAGCGCAGTGGATATTAAGTTTACATATATACTTATGTGTATTTGATTGCGAGAGATTTTGAGAAGGAAGGCGAGAGTGCCTTCAAAGGTCTCGGTTAAGGCCCGCGTCCCTAGTTTTTGCCAGGACTAGGGACGCCCAACGAGAAGCCGAAGGTTGTCTAGGACCGGGGAGAGGACGATTGGGAAGGTCTTTGGAACTTATGTTCTCAGCGTCCTCATTTCTGAGCAGTAAGAGGCCTAGGTTCGAAACCTGGCAGCATATAGTTGTGGAGGCATGGTTTGATGGAGGCCTCTACCCTGTGTTTGTCAGCTAATCGGATTGGCTCACTTCTTTCGTCAGCATTTGGAGTGTGAATGGATTTATAGCTTTCAGATTTGGCGAAGCGACGGGGACGTCGCTTAATATGGTCCGGTAAGACTATCGGTGTGAATACCCTTACAAGGGTATCTGCCCTGGTTTTTGCAAGTAACAGAAAAACGGTTTTTGTTTAGAATTTAAGTATACCGCGCTAAGCGCGGCTGCGTCTGTAATTGCGTTGACTGGGTGGTTGACCACAATAGCGAGTGCGCGGGCGCGCAGGTTTAAGGCGTCCGTGATTCTTTTCTGTTGTTGATCGTAAGAGTCGGCTCGGACCTTGGTCGTTTTGCTTGGTGATATTATTATTTATTTATTTTTGATTACGCAGGAATTAAGGATATTTTCTTTTTGGTACATTTGGCCGAGTCAAGCGCGCGTGCGGAGAACGACCCCGACGACGGCACGACTTCGTGCGGTGAACGGGGAGTGTAGGATGGCGCGCGGGGCAACTATGGCACGGTAAGAACAAGCCGGCGCTGGCACTGGGAGCCGCACAGCCGGTTTGTCGGGCCAAAGCGCCGCACCGCACCGCCTTGTATGGTACTCTGCGGGCACTGGTCTCAGGCTTGGGCTTAGCCCTATAGGTTAGAGCATTGGACTGGTACGCGGCAGACGCGGGGATTGAGGCCAACAGCATGCGGCTAAGGAGCGAAGGAGTGCGACGGAAAGGCTTGAGGGGTTGATGGGCCTGTGGGACTATCTCCCTCGCCTTTTGCCAATGGATGTAATGATGGGCCCGACCCGCGGCACTGGCGAGGTGCCAGCAGCTCCCCTGTTCCTGTCTGAATATTTATCTTGCTTTATTTATTTTATTTGTTCTTTTTATCTTAGTTTTATTTTACTTCATTATTTTATTTTATTTTTTTACTTTTCCCACGGTTATTGGCGGCCCCGTCCTATTTTGGGGCGCGGTACCGTGTCAATGCCTGAGAAGCACTTAGAACCGAGGGGAAAGGGTGGAGCGACGAGCCGTCGGAGGTATAAGTCTGAAGGAAGCACTCGGCAGCCGGTAGCTTTTGCAGTAAGCCAAGCTGGGATAGCGCGTCTCAGCACCGTGCACTGTGGGGCGGAACGGTTTGGTAGGCAGAGGTATTACACACTCCCTAGCGGATCTCGACTTCCATGATCGCCATCCTGCTGTCTATATGAACCGGTGTCGGGGTGGTGTATGGGCTAATGATGTGTTTTGACTCCTACCGAGCCCAGGCGGAAGAAGGAAAGGCTGGTGGCATAATGGCGGATGGACCCGGACGCGGGCGGGCGCCGGGTGCATGCAAGTAAGGGAGTAGATAGCGCAGTAGGGGGGAGGAGGCGCTGCGAAGCCTTGACCACTGAGCACCAACGAGAGGTAGCGCTGCGGGGAGAGCGGAGTGGCTGGCGGACGAACGGGGACGTGAACCTGTGTCAGGCGCTGTGGCAGAAGTTCGCAGCGGTGTTGCTGCGCACGTCGGACTTGGGCATAGGGGCGAAAGACCAATCGAATCGTCTAGGAGCCGGTTCCCTTCGAAGTTTCTCTCAGGGCAGCCGGAGCTGTTGAACACACCGCGAGAGCCACTGCTACCGGGCTACTACGCGACCAAGAGCAGCGCTAGCCAGAGGAAAGCAAGACGGGGAAGAGGATTGACGGAAGAGAGTGTGGGGAAACTAAGGCTAAGGAAAAGGAGATGAACCTGGCGCGAATTCGCGCCGGGTACATTCGA